TGAACTCCAGTGTTCAAGGACTACAGATTTGGCAATATATTTCAAGTGAGTAATCATAGAAATTGATGAGTAAACAAATATTTTTTGAGAAAAATGAAAGTTCATCTTATTTTTTGAAGAGACCTCGTATTCTGACTCGTTACTTGAGGACAATTAATGAGTATCCATGATAATAAACATTTTCCTCATTATGAATTTCATTCACTCTTATTTCACTAAAAAAAACTTCTTCAGTTTAACTGGTGAACCTATTCAACTAAAGGAAAAAACTGATATCATAAAAATTGTTCAACTGAAGTTTCTGGTTTCCAGTCCACTAAAATCTTACTTTATCTGTTACTGTTTCTTTAAAAAAGACGCCTCTATGAAAATCAATGAGTATGTTCCAACTTCAAATTTAATTTTGATTTATTCTAACAGAACTATGCTATGGGATAACTTTCATTTGGAAAATCTTTCAAATGAAATGAATTGATATCCTGTACATACCTTCCCTTTCTTATCATTTTTACAAACGACACAATTCTACTTTTATTAATGATGTAAAAGTTTCTAAAAGCCACATTTTGATGATCTGACATCAACATCATGGTGTTTGATTTTGTGTATTCAGAAAGTGACTTTTCTCATACAGGAACCGGGTGGATTTCTTCCAAATAGCTAGTGGTGAATTGAACTGGAAAAGGGAAGATCATAAGGAGTCAGTGAGGGGAATGTTAATGACAGTCTGTGATTTGGCGGCCATTACGAAACCTTGGGATGTGGAGAAAAGAATTGCCGAGTTGGTGGCTGCAGAGTTTTTCGAACAGGGTGATTTGGAAAGAGAGAAGTTGAATATAACACCGATGGTGAGTTGACATATATAATATTGTGTACATTATAAAATGTAACTCGAGAGAAATTTTTTACTACACTAAAACCAATAATGATTGAGAGTAAAGCGCGTTGTCATATCTAAATTTTACGTTACCAGTTTATAGCAGAATCAAAATATAGTAAGCAGTAGAGTTGTAGATTGTGGCAAATTATAGATAATACACAATACTAGTACGATTAAAAGGTATTATTTATGACAAAAATCAGTAATGAGCTTGTAATGAGTAATACTTATACATTTCCTGATTACTGATCAGTTAAAATTCATTATTTTCTGTATAGTGTTAGATATTTATTACAACTAGTGGCAACGCTGTACGCAACGATATTTCTGTCTTTGTCACTTTACCGTAACTTCCATCTCATCGTTGCAGTCCTCACTAATGTACTTGCAGCCATGAGCGTATCATTGGTTTGTGAATTATACAGCGTGAATTGTACGTTTTACAGTTAAGTTAGTCAGCAATCGACGTGTTGTGATAACAATTGGTGAAAATAATAGTGCTAATAAGTGTTTAAGTGTTACATAATTATATTTCTACACCGTTCCATTTTGACCATTTTAGAAATTGTTTACGTGGTACCTTTCTAGTAAAACCGAAAACTAAATGAGAATATTTCAACTGAACAATGTTGTTCATTGTCATACTAACATTTTTTGTCGTTATTAAATGTTTCGCTCTTTGTAGTAGGTGAAGATATTGACTTCATATTCTAGGGTTGTAAAGTATTCGTCAGGAGCTTCAAAATGATGTGTCACAAGACCTCCCCTTCCATTTATTTTTTTCTCCAATGGCGCCCAGTCGCCATCTTGAAAATTTCATCTGTCAATTTCACTTCAAAATAAAGTATTCATGCATTAATTTCATTATCCCAAATTTCAATTTTTTGAGTTGGCCCGTTCAAGAAATGAAAGTGGGGAACATGACCTTCTATCTCAATGTCTCAAAAAGCTCCATAAAAATTGTATTATTTTCATAATTTTTATGAAGCGGCTTCATTACAGCATTGTGAAGATAATCAAACTCTTGTTTTCAGTTAGTTTGAATACGTTGAAAGAAATATATCCTCCATGTATTGTAATATCAAAAGAAATACAGTGACATTCAAGAATTTGTTGGGAAATCTAAGAGATAAGCTCTGAATTTCTCCTTGGAAGTTCAATATCATTGTAATTAGCAACCTTAACTCATGAATACTCATAATCTCCTCTAACAGGTGAAGCAAATCGGTTGAATTATCATAATTCAGCACAAACTATCTTGAAAAATTGGAAGCATGATTCAATAAGTAATAGAAGAGTATGGTGAAAGGGGGGATATTTTTAAAACTTCATAATAATCTTTTTGTACCAAACCCTTAGATGACTGTTCCCCAAAGTTTATTTTCATTCTCTCCATTTTTTTTCAGGATATAATGGACAGAACAAAAGCAGAAAAATTACCTGTTATGCAAATAAACTTCATTGATTCAATTTGTCTCCCCATTTATGAAGTAAGTACAATAATTCAGCTTCATATAAAATATTACTGGAGTTTCTTCCCAACACCAAATCGTTATTTTTAACACCTCGATCTTTCAAAGAAATCCCCTCCAGAAGTTATTCACTTATGCCAGAGTTTTTCCATTCTTCAAAGCAGTTTTGATGAAATTTTTAGTATGTCCTTTCTATCTCATCAATCATCGCGAAACGCCATTCTTTCATGGGTTTCGTCAATCTTGGGAACAGGAAAAAGTCGCAGGATGCCAAATCTGGTGAATACGGTGGCTGAAGCATGATTACGGTGTTGTTTTTGTACAAAAAATTATGAACAAGCACTGAAGAGTGAGCAGGTACATTATGGTGATGTAAAAGCCATGAATTGTTTTTCCACAATACCGACATTTTCTTCGTATTGCTTTCTGCAAGCGGCGCAAGTTAATACTCCTTAATGATCTTATGATCATGTGGAAAGAACTCCAGATGCACTATGCCACGGTAATCACTGTTGATCTGAATATCATACTCAATATCCAACAGTTTTCAACAAGTTCCTTACTTTGGAGTGGCGTTTGTTATTTCAGTGACAATTCCTTACCTTTTACATTTCTTTAATGTGTAGTTGTTGATAGTTTTCTTTTCTTTGAAGGCTTTCGCTAATTTATCTGAAAATCTACAACCTTTGCTGGATGGTGTTAAGCAGAACAGGATTCACTGGTTAGAAGAAGCACAAAAAGCACACTTAGTTCCTGAAGAAGATGTGGATGAAAGGGATAATAATGATAATTTATCAAAATCCAACAGTCCCGATCAAAAACACAGTTCTTCGGAAAGTAACAGTCAAACAATTACCAATTAGTATGAAGAATTTTAATATTTATGTACATATTTATTGATAAGTCTATTTATTGAAATATTTTTAAATCGAAGACTTGAATGGACGAGTAGTGAAATGCGTAAAAGTAGATTGCAGAGTTGTGAAGTAGGTGTGCCCATTTCCAATGTACATTTTGTGAACATTTGTAATGGGTAATTATGAGATATCGGTAAAAATTTCAAATGCTTTTTCTGTAGGGCTCATTAAAATCAATGATATATATGTACCCTGTCAATTCATTATCTTTAATAGTTTCGTTATGACAGCTTTCAATAACTATTTCAAAACTACCATAATTTGATGATGAGTTGTCATAAAACTATTGTTTTGCTTCTTCATTGATGTAATAATATTCTGGGTGTGAAAAAACTGTGATACATTTTAAATAATATTCAAAAGTAATCAGAAGAGTCAAATAAACCCTGTCTAAATCAAAATGCGAAGAATTTGAAACAAAATAAAATTCTCGTTGACATTGTTTTCTGTTTCATGATAAATGTTTTTCACTAGGAAGCTACACACAGGACAAACTTTGCAGGAAAAAATTTACTTTCTCTAAATTACATGCAAACAATATTATTATATCCCTTTCGTCTTTGAGTCTACTAAATTTGTGCAAAATTTCATAAAAATCTCATGAAACCGATAATATTTTTTTTATGTAACGCTGCAGTTATCATTTGGGTACTTAATTTTTTTCGACAATAGTTATTTGTAGTCAGCTTTTAATTAATCATTAGTTCCTACAATGACTTTCATTGTCACTGTGCATAACTGTTCTGAAAATTAAAAAAATTCAAGTTTCCTGAAAAGAAAAAAAAATTAATAAATGGAACGAATAAAGTGAACAAAATCATTTTCTCAATTATTGTGTGTATTTGAAAATTCCCGAGCTAGCGTCTGGTTTCATTCTTAAATTCGATTTCATTGTCAAACTCGTTTTCCTCATATTCTTCACAGAAACAGGTACACATTATTTAATTATTGTTGCTGAAATTTACTGTGAAAAAATATTACTCTTTGAAATTTTGAAATTTAAATTCACTGAAGTGAATACGGGAAGTTAAAATTATGTAAAAACTCTGAAACATATCAGTTTTTTATAATTTTGAATATCTAGGTCTTTATTTAAGATTCATAAAATAAATTGACTTCGGAAGTTTGAAATGAACCAGAGAAAAATTCTATAGTTTTGAAGCAAGGCCTAGAAATTCATCTATGATAGACAAATTCAAAAAATATTTCATTTACTGAACCACATCTGCATCCCTGTACAATTACTACATGAAATTACTGTATAGAGACATGGAACAGTCTAACAATAAAGTTTTAATATGCTTGTCAAGGCATGATAAAATTTTTTGAAATTACATAATGTTTTCTCATAGTTTTTTTACGTTATTAACTTACTATTAACAGAACCTGAAAATGACATTGCTTCGGAATTTCTAGAATATGCGCTATAATTGGGATTTTATTTGAAGTATTTCACTTTGGCATTGTATTTAGAGATGAAACGGATATCCGGCAACTATCGGGCAATCTAAATACTACCCGGACTAATACCGGATAAGTAGAGCCTATCCAGCGGTATATCGGATTAAAAAAAGTAATTTCAGGTAATTATTTGCTTTGTTCAATATGTATCACTCAAGAAATACAATCAGTAATTGCACCATAATTCTACAACTCAGAAAATGAAGTGCAAATACTGCACTAAGGGCAAGTTATGGTAAATGAACACTATTTTTTCTGCATTGCGAGATAGCAGGTGATTTCGCTTGTCCTCGTTAATAAGACCAGCTTCAGGAAAAAGTATTTTGCTTCACACACTTCTGCAAGGTGATGAAAGATAGATGCACTGCATTCAATACAATAAGTCAATGAATGAAACAATTGTTAACTTCGCTTATTAACGAAAAGATCCGAATTGGACCACCCTACCGTTCGCGTGCCGCTGGATATTCGGCTATCCGACTGCTATTCGATTCATCTCTAATAGATATCATTAAATGCGCTAAATAGCAACATTCCCCCGGATATATTCGACGGCTAATATCCTTCTGCAAGATTGGCCGAATATCCATACACCAATAGCTATGTTCCGCCGGATATATTCGGTGGCAAATATCCGGCTGCAATGTTGGTCGAATATCCATATTCGGCGGAAATAGTCGGTATCCGGCTATCCGTTTCATCTCTAATAGATATTTTTAAATGCACCAAATGGCCGGATATATATATGGCCGGATATATCCGCCGGATATATTCGGCGGTAAATATCCGGCGGCAAGGTTGGTATCCGGCAAAACTGCTATCCGTTTCATCTCTAAGGGAATGAATAAACTGTTTTGACAACACAATATAATTTTTGTCCTATCGTAAAAAGTTCTCTGCTCCCAAATTGACGATACTTGTTTTTTTATGAAAAGTAAAAAGATAACAGGGTTAAGACCTCGTTAACCCTTAGCTCGCACAAGTTTTGACTTCTGAGGGTTGTCGATTGTAGGGGTGTGACAGCTGGTTAACGATAAACAGACAGATTTTAATTCTTCGAATTGTAATTGAACCTTCAAACTGAAATCAGTCGCTACTTTAATTTCTGACTATTATTTCACAAAGCAGTTTCATCTTTCTATTGTATATCAATGACTTATTGGAAAAAAACAAGAATGCAATATATTGCTTTCCTGACGACAGCACACTTGTTTTGTCATTCCATTTGGATTCCAGAACATCTGCGGCAGATACACTTCTTCACTAGCAGCAGGAGGTTGCATATCTTGATGAGGATCTAGAAGTAATTTGGAACAATGTTCCGAACCAGAAAATGGGGAATGTTCCTCAATTTGGGTTATTACAGCAAATGCAAGTTTGAACAAAATAGTGTTGAGTTTCATTCATGAGTTTTTCAAATTCACTTCGAAAAGTATTCAAATTGATGTTTCAAATGTTGGGTTTTAGTTTTTAAAGGGTTTGGTTCTAATTCACATATTGGCAACAGCGCCTAGAATGCTAGATCGGAGTTCAGGTTAGTAGTATGCTAGAAGAAGAAGAATCATGTCAATATTGTCAAATTACGGAAAAATATAAATTGTAGTTCAATACCACCTCCACAAGCCACATAAACAACAGTTGTTTTGTTATTTATTTATATAGAGGAAGATAGGTTAGGTGAACAAAATGTCATATGTCACAGAATGTCTCGGAACATAAGTAAACAGAACTGCACGCCTCTGAAATATGTCATCTTTGTTTGTCTCACACAGGTAACAGTTTCATTGTCCTTTATTAGCTATAACTGATGTTGCCTAATGGTGAAATAGAAACGAATCCCTTTAAATGTTGAATGCATTATTTCATTCCTCTTTTTTAAGCATTTAAATATTTTTTTAAAGGAAAAGGTTGAAATGATGAGTTTAAAATGCGTTGTTTTAGAGTTCTTTTATGAAAACTACTTGATTTTCGTCAGGAGGAACATTCCCCACTGTACACACCTCAGCAACTTTTAATGCTTTATAAAGCTCAGATCAGACCTTCTTTGGAGTATTGTTCTCATATATGCAGCTCCTCCTCCCCTAAGCATACTCTGAAGCTGCTGCAGCTTGCAACCTTGATATTTGGGAGCATCGAAGAAAGGTTGGAGATTTGTCTCTCTTCTACAGATTCACGGGAAGTGTTCAAGTGACTTGGGACATTTGATTCCACCAAGAGAGGCACATATCAGAAATACGCGACAGACTGTGGCTGCTCATTGTTTAGAGGTTCAACTCAGTACACCTCGAACTTCACTGTTCAAGGACTCTTTCTTTGGGAACTAGGTTTATATGTGTGGAATGAACGTCCAGCGAACATTTTTTCAAATGGAGTCAATCTCCAAATACAATGTGAATCGCCACTTTCGCACAGGTACCGCTCTTAGAGCTTCTTCACAATAGATTATTGAATCCAACAATTTTTTTTTATCTTGTAATGAAAATAGTGTAAGAGACAATTTAAAGTTCCGTTTCGTTTCTCATGACTTATAAAATTTAATCTCAACTTTTTTTGCAGGATTCACTCACCTATTGCACAACTTTATTCCACTTCCACTATGGAACACCATCATTTTGACCAATGTTTGATGATCATCAATTCTCTTCAACTTCTTTCAAATCTCACTCCGGAAGAACACACCAGGGTCATCAGGGTATTAGAAGACGCCATATTAGCTACAGATTTGGCAATATATTTCAAGTGAGTAATCATGTTTGTATTCGTGACTTTCTTCAAAATGAGGTCTATTAAAAAAATGAGGTGAATGTTCAAATTGCTCGGGCTAGGTACAGTCAAGGCCAAAAAAAGCACGTCAAGGTTTTGCTCACTGTTTTTTTCGAATTTCTTTCGGTGTGCATCAGAAGTTCTTACCAAATAGTCGAAAAGGAGTATTATCTAAAAGTTATGCGCCGTTTACGAGAAGCAATAAGAAGACAAAGTCCGGTATTGTGGAAAAACAATTCATGGCTTTTACATCATGATAGTGAACCTGCTCACTCGTTATTGGTTGTTGGTAGTTCTTTTCTCCAAAAACAGTGCCTTAATCATGCTTCAGCCACCATATTCTCCAGATTTGGCCCCTGCGATGTTTTTCTGTTCTCAAAATTGCAGAGACTCATGAAAGGATGGCTTTTTGCGAAGATTGAGGAGATGTATTATAGTGTATTATATCTGAGGGGGACTAGTTTGAAGAGGATAACATAGAAATTGATGAGTAAACAAATATTTTTTGAGAAAAATGAAAGTTCATCTTATTTTTTGAAGAGACCTCGTATTCTGACTCGTTACTTGAGGACAATTAATGAGTATCCATGATAATAAACATTTTCCTCATTATGAATTTCATTCACTCTTATTTCACTAAAAAAAACTTCTTCAGTTTAACTGGTGAACATATTCAACTAAAGGAAAAAACTGATATCATAAAAATTGTTCAACTGAAGTTTCTGGTTTCCAGTCCACTAAAATCTTCCTTTATCTGTTACTGTTTCTTTAAAAAAGACGCCTCTATGAAAATCAATGAGTATGTTCCAACTTCAAATTTAATTTTGATTTATTCTAACAGAACTATGCTATGGGATAACTTTCATTTGGAAAATCTTTCAAATGAAATGAATTGATATCCTGTACATACCTTCCCTTTCTTATCATTTTTACAAACGACACAATTCCACNTTAACGGAAAAACAGATTTTAAACAGATTTTTTTAAACAGATTATTTGATTTACGTTGCGTTACGTGGCTTCCGTGTGGGTAGCTCGCTGTTTATTCTAAAATTGACAAAGTAGCTCAACACATTGAAGAGGTTGGCGACCACTGGTTTAGGTATAGTCATTGTAGAGGAAAAATCTGAAAAGTTGACTTTCAATTAATCACTATGTTTTTAGACAACCTATAAAAATGATATATTTTTGACAATGAAATTTTGATTAACTCTTTCAGAAAATTATAAATAACAATGAAAGCTGTAAGTGAAAAGTGTTATCTACCAATATACTAATAGAACGCTAAATTAGTTGTATTATAGTTATTATAGTTAAATAATGGAATTGGCCAATACTTTGTAAAAATCCATAATGTATTCATTGAGATTTTCACTATACTATAATTCCAAAATAGTAGGGCACTAAATTCTCAGAAATTACCGACGTTTTTGCCGTAATCTGTCTCTTGCAGTGGCGTACGGAAATTATACCAGACAGATGAGGAAAAATGATAATAAAATATATAGAATCACTACCTTTACAACAATGTTTTTGTTTCAATGCAATAATATTTCTTAGAATTCAGTGCCTACTTTTATGAAATTGTACTATAAATGGTTTACAAAACCTCAACACATGTTTCGCTATACAAACGTTTTCTTTAGTGTTAATTTAGCTAAATTCTACTTAATATGTGCTTTATACAGTGCTTTTCTTTAATGTCCCCCCATTTTATTTTTTGAAAGGGTCAACTCAATTAGGAATAATGAAATGACAGATGAAATTGACAGATGAAACTTTCAAGATGCCGACTGGGCGCCATCTGGAAAAAAAATTAAATGGAAAGGGGAGTCTTGTGTCANTTTTCTGCATTGCGAGATAGCAGGTGATTTCGCTTGTCCTCGTTAATAAGACCAGCTTCAGGAAAAAGTATTTTGCTTCACACACTTCTGCAAGGTGATGAAAGATAGATGCACTGCATTCAATACAATAAGTCAATGAATGAAACAATTGTTAACTTCGCTTATTAACGAAAAGATCCGAATTGGACCACCCTACCTTTTGCGCGCCGCCGGATATTCGTCTATCCGGCTGCTATTCGATTCATCTCTAATAGATATCATTAAATGCGCTAAATAGCAACGTTCCCCCGGATATATTCGACGGCTAATATCCTTCTGCAAGATTGGCCGAATATCCATACACCAATAGCTATGTTCCGCCGGATAAATTCGGTGGCAAACATCCGGCTGCAATTTTGGTCGAATATCCATACACCAAATGCCTACGTTCCGCCGGATATATTCGGCGGCAATAGTCGGTATCCGGCTATCCGTTTCATCTCTAATAGATATTTTTAAATGCACCAAATGGCAACTTTCCGCCGGATATATTCGGCGGTAAATATCCGGCGGCAAGGTTGGCGCAATATCCGGTATCCGGCAAAACTGCTATCCGTTTCATCTCTAAGGGAATGAATAAACTGTTTCGACAACACAATATAATTTTTGTCCTATCGTAAAAAGTTCTCTGCTCCCAAATTGACGATACTTGTTTTATGAAAAGTTAAAAGATAACAGGGAATAGTTTGTAGGTTTCGCTCCTGTAAAATTCACTTTTGACTCCTTTGATACTTGTCAACAAATATAATGGAATAACAAATGGGATGGTATATTTTGGATGGAAGTTGTCACACATGACTTAGTTTCAGATTATCAGTTAAACTGAATTTTAAACTGGATGCGTTCAGTTGAAAATTATACAATTGAATACAATTGAAAAAACAACTAGCAGTTACATGCTGGTCTGAGTCAGAAGTGTGAAAATTCCCACGGATTAAATATTTATTCGAAATCTCCTAGAATAATCATTTGTGCAAGTATTCTTTAATTTAGCTCTCTCAAATGAGTAAGTTTACTTCTAAGTTGTGTTTGTGATATTTTGTTAATCTGCCTGTTGATTATTCCTCAACGGTGGGCAGTAAAACCGTATTTCAATATGGTATTACATACTATTCGAACCAAAGTGTATTTTTCTTACAATTAGTTAAACCTCTGCAAATTTAATATTTTTAGTAAGTAGTGTGATTGTGAATTACCTGGACATGATTTCAAAAACCTCTATCTTCTTTTGTAAGATTTAACATATGTACAGAGTATGTAAAAATGACCACAATAATAATATATTATATTTATCAGATGTATGTGTTTTTTTAGGAATCACACGTTGAAAGTTAAGACCTCGTTAACCCTTAGCTCGCACAAGTTTTGACTTCTGAGGGTTGTCGATTGTAGGGGTGTGACAGCTGGTTAACGATAAACAGACAGATTTTAATTCTTCGAATTGTAATTGAACCTTCAAACTGAAATCAGTCGCTACTTTAATTTCTGACTATTATTTCACAAAGCAGTTTCATCTTTCTATTGTATATCAATGACTTATTGAAAAAAAACAAGAATGCAATATATTGCTTTCCTGACGACAGCACACTAGTTTTGTCATTCCATTTGGATTCCAGAACATCTGCGGCAGATACACTTCTTCACAAAAACCCAGGCATTGGTTTTCTCCACAAAGATAGATGTCTCCGAACCGGATATAATAACGTCAGGTCAGACAATTCCACCTTCTGCTTCGATAGGTTGGTTCCTCAATTTGGGTTATTACAGCAAATGCAAGTTTGAACAAAATAAAGTTGAGTTCCATTCGTGAGTTTTTCAAATTCACTTCGAAAAGTATTCAAATTGATGTTTCAAATGTTGGGTTTTAATTTTTAAAGGGATTTGTTTCTAATTCACATATTGGCAACAGCGCCTAGAATGCAAGATCGGAGTTCAGGTTAGTAGTATGCTAGAAGAAGAGGAATCATGTCAATAGTGTCAAATTACGGCAAAATATAAATTATAGTTCAATACCACCTCCACAAGCCACATAAACAACAGTTGTTTTGTCTTTTATTTATATAGAAGATAGGTTAGGTGAACAAAATGTCATATGTCACAGAATGTCTCGGAACATAAGTAAACAGAACAGCACGCCTTTGAAATATTTCATCTTTGTTTGTCTCACACAGGTAACAGACTCATTGTCCTTTATTAGCTATAACCGATGTTGCCAAATGGTAAAATATAAACGTATCCCTTTAAATGTTGAATGCATTATTTCATTCCTCTTTTTTTGAGTATTTTTTGAAGAAAGAGGTTGAAATGATAAATTTAAAATGCGTTGTTTTAGAGGTCTTTTATGAAAACTACTTGATTTTCGTCAGGAGGAACATTCCCCACTGTACACACCTCAGCAACTTTTAATGCTTTATAAAGCTCAGATCAGTATTGGAGTATTGTTCTCATGTATGCAGCTCCTCCTCCCCTAAGCATACTCTGAAGCTGCTGCAGCTTGCAACCTTAATAGTTGGGAACATCGAAGAAAGGTTGGAGATTTGTCTCTCTTCTACAGATACTTTCACGGGAAGTGTTCAAGTGACTTGAGACATTTGATTCCACCAAGAGCGGTACATATCAGAAATATGCGACAGACTGTGGCTGCTCATTGTTTTGAGGTTCAACTCAGTACACCTCGAACTCCAGTGTTCAAGGACTCTTTCAGTTGGAGAACTGCATTCGTGTGTAATAAACTTCCTGAGAACGTGAATCACCCTTTCGCACAGGCACCGCTCATAGAGCGCCTTTTAAGGATTTTCCTGTAGTGCTTGTGTTTTGTCCTTGAAAAAATCATAATACTACTCAATCTGATCAACTGTTTCTCAGAGTAGACCGCAAGTTTTTTTATTTGACGAGTCGGGCCCCTGATTGTCTTTCGGAAAAAAAAAATTGGCCACAGAAAATATCAAAATACAATTTGCAGTCTGAATTGATTGAAAACTATCACTTGCGGAGTTCCACAGAAAGACTCAAGAATTGAGCTCCTTTTGCGGTTTTAGAAGAGAAGCTTGGGGACTCTATATGAATTGAATTATAATCAATAGTTAGTTAATTGATAAAATTTAAGCAAAAAAAAATGTCTTTGAACACTTTCGATATGATGGATGTAATGAAATATCATTTAAATAAAATATTGCTTTATTTGAAATATATCTATATGGCAAACACTTGATATAAAATTTTAACAACCAATTAACTTATAAAATGTGTGGATCACATTAGCTTATCATTTAAGAGACAGTTATACAGGTATCGATAGTAAAATCATGCAAAAATATATAAATCTATCCAAACTAAAGAGTACCTGTAAAAAAAATTGTTTCAGAGTGGCTGAAGACCAATGAAATTATCATATTTTTTTGTATGCCCATTAGATTCTTTGTGTTCATTGGCTAAAATCACAATAATAGCTAAATCTTAAAGTGTAAAAATCGAGACTGTTAAAGAAGTTCAAAGATGTGACTTTTTTCTCAATTTGATGATTTTTTTAATCAATTCAAGTTTAAACATATTACATTTCTTCTATATATTGCGGTTGAGTCCTTGTGAGTGTAAATCCTTACAAAAATTTTTAAGAAGTTCAAAGATCTGACTTTTTTCTCAATTTGATGATTTTTTTTAATCAATTCAAGTTTAAACATATTACATTTCTTCTATATATTGCAGTTGAGTCCTTGTGAGTGTGAATCCTTACAAAAATGATATCTGCATGTGATTTGCTAATATGTTGTAATACCCAATTACATTATCAGCGCATCACATATACACTCAATCGCAAAATTAATTGAACACTCTAGGTGTCTTACAAACTCCATGCAGAAACTACAATACTGGAATTTGTCTTACAGTTAGGCGTGGCTTGGCTTCTCTCAATTGGATTACCTGACCTTATTTTTGTACCAGTAAAAACAGGTAGCCAGATTTTATTGATGTTCATTGCTTCTTCTCTTCTATTGAAACGGGTACCTACACTTTATTTCGTGGTTCCAATGTTGCCTGACCTGCAGATACAATGAATCCGGTATACCCCGAGTGTTGCTGAAGATTCTCTGGGGTCCTTGGCTGACCATAGACTAGAACCAAGCCACATCTACGTACAGTAATATAAAACCGGAGTCAAATACCTGCATTGTAGGTTCTATGTTCAAATCGAGCACCAATTCAAGCACTTCCATTGTTACCCCATCGCATTTGATGGCTACCGCAGTGGTTGACGAAACGTCAGGCAAAAACCTGCAGATCAAGGCCAAAAAACTTGGAAAATAGCTTTGACACAGTAATTGTATTTTTTTTTTTGGAGAAAGCAAGTGTGTCGTTAATTTTGCAGTAGAGTTTACAACCAAAAGGAATAAACAGATTCATTTATATTTTCTAGCTTCCTCATACCTCAGATACAAAAGATTTCAATAGCACAGATGTGGTTTTAAAAAGAAACTTCACCTATCTATCAAATCCATCTCGCAGAAAAAACATTTCAAGTAACAATTCAACTATATAATTGAAAAACATTTTTGACCAACATAAATGGTCACCGAATACAAGTTTCCATCAACACAGTAAATATATAAAAACAAATTAGCTGGAATTGCAGTCAGTGTACAAATAATTTTTTTTAGAAGATGTCGCAAAGTAACACTTCAATTTTGTGTATATAACCGGACTGGTGAAGGTGAAGAATGAACCAAAAGTCCGAACTACAGATAAACCATGAGATACAAATTTGATATCCTGAATAAAAAATATTCGAAAAAGTTTCCCAAAATTCTACAATTTTCTCAAAAGCGCAAATATTTTGGGTTCAAATTACATGATAACATCAGTTATAACGTGATTTGGTTTTTGAAAAGGCAATTAGAGATTCTTTCAATATACCAAAAGAAAATCATCTTGGAAACTACAATCTTAGTTTTGATACACAATAACTTCCTCAGATACCTTTTTTTACAGATCCTTTAATGAAAATTTCAATTATGAAACTGGTCGCAGAATTAAAACTCGCAAATAGTCTCATCAAAGTACCTGTCGAGAACGGAACTGAAAATTGATTCAATCATAAAAAGACGCATATATTCATATTCATCTTGAGAGTTTTGACATATATTGACAAGACACTTCGATTCATTCTAAGAACAAAAGTGCTGTTTCATCAAGATAATGCACCTTGTCACATATCAATGAAAACGATAATTTAGAAGGTCCTAGCAGTCATCACACCACTCTTCTAAGCAATTTGATGGAATTGACCAGATTGAAAAACAACAAAATCGTTTGAAGTAGTATTTACATATTCACTCAGGTTAAGCTACACCCAACGATTTTATTATTTTTTTGTCTGATCGATACTGTAGATTGCTGAGAACGTGGTGTGATGACTGCTACCTAGTACCCTTCAATTCATTTTTCAGTTGTTAGTACATCATCTACATCATTATAATCTCATTTTTTTTTATAATATCGTTCAGAATAATTTTTTTTACTCATTTCATGTATATACTTAATAAAATACAAGTATATTGGTAGGTATTTACATTGCAACTTATTGCGATGAAGTGGAATTCAACCTTTCTACACCTGTATAAAACTCACTCTTGCAATTTGTTTTCTTTTCAAACTTCGCAACTGTCTTTGTATACTGAAGAGTTACTAGAACTTGGTATTATGTTATTAATATTTATGATTCATATCTGAGAAAGCTACTGTATAGCGAACAAAGTCAAGCAGTTTTGTAAATAAGTTTGCGTGACAAGAATGTATGATTCTAATATAATCACCAATGCACTTTCAAGGTGTACAGGAAGTATTACTTTGTTGAAACTCAGCAAAACCAAAAGAATGATGCAATTGAATTCCCATACGACATTCTCTCTGGAGGCAACTACCGAAGCTAATAGACTGGAACCCACAAACCTGAATGTTCATCACGCCTGAAATAATGAGGTCGATTATCTCTGAAAACAGTCACAGCCGGAAATGGATTCTCCTGTATGTACTTCAATGTCGCCCTAATTTGTGATACAAAATGTGGCAGCTGAACATCAGGCGAAGTAGATAAATGATTCAAGATGAATTCATCATCTTGCTCTAACCATAAATCTGCTCCTCGAAGAGGCGTATAGTTGAAGGGACCAATGGTCAGAAGACCCAGATTACAGTCGTAGATATCTAAGAGTTGATGGTTGCCCGTTAGATGTCTGGCATTTCGCAAGGATTCTTCAGGACCTTTCTCTGGGAATGTTGCTGGGAATAGTTCACCTGTAAAACGTATTGATTGAAATGTTTGATGTCAGTTTCAATGAAAAAAGTTTACACAAAGTACAAGATTAGGAGAACGACAACGAGTGTTGACTTGGAAGAAATGAACAAGTCTGGAGCCATCCACACAGCTAAAAAATGTACCGTATGTTTCAGATACTGAAATCTATATTTTGTTCAGCTGAAATAATAAATGAAATGATGGAATCTTGAACAATATTGGGTCTATCAAAATTGGATTCAATACTTTTTAGGAATTAAATTTTATTAAATTCTGCCATTTCCCAGCTTTAAAAAAATCAATAACTCTTAGTTAGGAGTTTGAAATAAGGCAACTTTGAGAAAGTGTTGATGTTTCTGGACTATATACCACCCAGTTGGGGATATGCTTAACTGGAAGAAAAGTTATACACTTTCAGGAAATTCTGGAAAAATTTGTGTTGTATTTTTTGCTGTGAAGGATGTATTTCCCAGAATACTATCTTCATAGCAGAAATTTTGTGTATCGTTAAATATGGCACATATTTCTTCCAAAAATAAATACAGCGTAGACATAATTTAGCATTTGTTTTTTTAGGTAAGGTTAGTTTTTTGTGATTGATTTTTTGAGCTGAAATGTTTGTCTCACCTAAAACAAAATCGCTGTATAAGTTTTAAAATTTGAAAGATGTTAATAATAAATTGATAAAAAATAAATTCTCACCTGTCTTGACATTAACTCCAATTCCATATATGACTGGCCAAGGGGTTCCCTCACGAATAGTAGTATTCAATTGCCCTACACAGGCAAGTGTTAAATCAACCTCAACAGACTGCTTCTGAAAAGCATTCATAATGTTGTGGAAAAGTTCTTCAGAAAAATGTCGGGCATCTGAGTAACCACCCACCAGTTGAGTTTCGATTCTACCCTCAGGATACCCCAGAGCAAGATCCTGTACTTGACGGATCATTGCACAAATGGCATCGTCTGTACCTGAAAACGGTTGAAAAATATTATAAGTGAACTGCATGATGTCTGTTCACAAAGTCATCAGTGCATCTAAACCAAATATTCCAAAAACTCACCCGATCCATCGAAATGACCCAAAGCAACAGCTCCAGAGCCCGAATGCCTGATAACAACTATTATGCATGTGGTGGCATCATCTGAACCGATGATGGTCACATTTTTATCATGAGGAACGGTAGCGGCATATTCTCTTTGTTGGACATATAGAAGTCCCACTGGCCCGATAACTTTGTTAGGTATCGCTAGCAACTGACTGGCGGTATCTCTGTAGACTGGATGCAAATTGTACAGTGACTGTGTATCTTGAGGGCATTTTGTTTGCAGTACTCCATTCAAAACTAGCACCATATTGTTCAGTTTCAAAATGTTACATCAAATGAAATCAACTTTGAATAAAATTCCAAAAAATAAATTGTAAAAAAACATAAATATAGTTGTTCCTCACTATTCACTAGATTTTTCCTCTTGCTCTTAGTGATGATTGAATGTATTGCCTCAGTTCGTATCTGTAACGAAAGAACATTATATATAAACTGATATTTAATTTTTAATCTAACCTACAATCAGTATTAAACAAAAACATTTTTTTCAATTGTGCACAGTGCGACACCTTGCGGGGTTGATCTCAGTTTCAAAAGCCAGTTATAAAATCGAAAGGAGGATCTCTGTATACCTATATGAGTAGTCTATGTACAATGGCAGGATCTTTGAATTTGGCTAACCGTAGCAATGACCGCAGGATGCATAGGGACCAAGATGCAAAGAAACCTTCGTGTTTTTACCCATTCGCTTTTTTTTGTCAAAAACCCTCGACGCGATAAATGATAGATCCAACCTTGTACACTTGTTGATAGATGGTGCAGGAATCGAAATCTGTCGCGCGTATTTTGTTCAGATAAAAACATTTTTGAGCTTACATTGCAAACGCTGCGAGCTGGCTAAACTCTACGAGATAGATCAAAATAATGTACTACAGTTTAGTACCCCTAAAAAAAGTTTGCAAAAAAGACCGCAATGGTATATATCTATCTCTCATAGCGATAACCCACAATAACCATTTTTTATCCTTCACTTTTTTACGAAGCGATTTTAAGCAGTACGGAAATACTCGTTATCCAATTGAGTATCCTATATACAATGTGCATTTGATATAAATCAATATGGCCTTTTGCAGCATGTAATTTGAATAAATATTTTGGAAGATATCACAGATTTAAAATGAAGGTACCGCAGTGGTTGCGGCAGTACCGCAGCGATCGTACGCGTTTGTATATATTTATGTAAGTATATTCAGTATCAGAATTGCACCCGTGCGGAGCCGGGGCGGGTCGCTAGTTACACGATATACCCTTCACACTTTCTGTGATGCCGTGTAACGTCGCCAACCCTAATCATGATTGAAATTTCAATTCTCTTATACTTTCACATTGAAAAATTTCTTAAAGACAGATTGAAAACTCTCGAATAGATTTCAAATACACGTCCCAATTTGAAGCCGTAATAATACAGAATCATACTATCTTTGTATATAGACTATATCCGCTATATACAAAGCTAATGATAAAAAAGCATAATTCTATTTGATTCCATTAGGTTTATTCTTCATTTATTTATTTTTCAATGACTTGTAACTATGCTATTGTTTCCCTTCTTGTTTTGCATAAAATAAGCTTATTCGGAGCGCAGCAGAGTACTCTGGCTGACAGAAAGTTGCAGCACAATTCTGGAAACGATCTCCAAGTATAAATGCCTTACGGTACTTATTGATTTTGGCCAAAAGATCTCACATTCTTATTTTTTTCGGTAGTTGAAGTATAATTAAAATGAAATAATGAGCCTAATTTAACCAACCGATGACAAATCATTACCCAATTTCCAACAACAAGAATAGTCTATCATCATCGAGTTATTCAAAAAGTTTTATTCATTATTTTTTCTTTATAGGTCTTGTTGGATAAGTCGCATGCTCCTTGAAAAAATTCCCCAACAACGCAGAAGTTCACTTCTATTCCTAAAGGACAACTAAATGAACTTTAACCGTTTAGCCGTTGAATAAATAAAAAGTTCTGCCAATTTCATACGTCCATCTCCTTGTTTACTTTTCTTTCTCTTCTCTGTTTATGTACCCACTTGTTTTTAATATACTAAATTGCTCAAACAAATTCTACCAACTTTCCAACGACCTATTACGTTCCTTCTAGCTTTTTACTTGATTAATTTGTACTGCAAATGAGAAACTGCAGAAGTGAAAATCGATGGAGGAAATCCGGTTTTTGCCTCGAGAACTACAAATGGGCCAATATAGAAGCCAAGATATCTACTTTGAGGGAGTTAATGGAAATGTTTTATCGGGTCCGTACCTATTTTCCGTTTTCATCAAGATTACATCACTGAAAGAATTATGGAGAGTTTTGAGATATGAATGCAGCATTTTAGATTGGTTTCGTTTAGGTAAGAAGTTAAAGTTTGTACATATCCGATTCTTGATGATGTTATTGTTGAATTTATTTGATTCACTTCATTATGCGATTTTCACCAAACAGTTTATGAAACGTCTGTTTCATTCAGGTTCTGAAGAAATGACTAGCAAACTAATAAACATACCTTTGCATAAATATTTATTGAAACCACAAGTTCATTTGATAAATTTGTATTACATAAAGGGTAATATGCCGTCCCAATGAAAGTTGGTAGAGTAGCTTCAGTCTACAAATCTGGAAGTCAAAATAATATGTTAAATTACTGACCAACTTCTGTCATCAATGTATGTATGTATGTATATAGTAGGAAGGGTGAGTGTATACCTAAGCACTTAGGCCACATGTGACCCATTGTACATCCCGTGAGGAGTTGTCCTCCTAAGTCATCATCCATCCTGTCCTTTCCAGGAAGATGGACAGGTTACTAGGAAACATCTCCTTTATTTCGGCAGGTGTAGGCCAAGACTCGCCGAACACACACTCTCTCTGGCAACCTTGAGGTATCTTACGGCGGCCTCGAAGGTTTTGGAAGGTGCAGCGACATTTCTGTCGTTGCGCGGCTTCTTCAACCTTCCGGGGTTCCCCTAATGGTGGTTTTCAAGTGAAGGCTCTTTTCTGCAGGGGCAGCCGGTTCCTTGTGAAGCCGGCTCAAGGCGGAGATCTTGGCGCCCGCTGCAGGAAGTGCCCTTGCTGTTGGAGGTGGAGTGGGGGAGGAGGAGGAGGGTGCACTTATAGTTGCTGCCACGCCTACCTCTTTTGCTCTCTTTCTCCTTTTGGCCTCAGCGCCGCAAATGCTCCATCTTTGTATTACATCACGAGGTGATCTATGTCCAGCCTCATTCCCAGCGGTAGATTGGGGTGAACACTTCTGTTCATATTGCCATATATTGAGATGAGCACTTCTGTCCAGCCTCGGGATTGGTGTTTGTGTGTCTGTTTGTTTGTTTCATATATGTGTGTTCCCATGAGTAGCAAGGGAAGAGTTGGTCACCTCTGGGAGAGCCCCGCATTACCAGAGGAGGGCTGATCACGATGAGGTTTCGCCCGGTTCCCCAAGGGGATTATTCGCAACCGCATATCTAGTTCAGTTCCCAGAGACCAAGAAAGGGGTTCACCTTACAAAAGGTGGGGTACAAGATTTCATTTTTTTTTCATTTTAATGGGTGTGAAGAGTAAAATATAAAAAATGTGACTGTCGGCACAATTTTTGGTAGCCGAAAAACCCCGACATTTTCGGATATTTTTCGGTTTTTTCGCAATATCTCGAAAAGGAGTTTTTATAGCGGAAAATGGTTACCATACAAAGTTGAAGAACATTAAATTCCCTACAAATTTCATAAATGATTTTTTTTTCTACAATCAATCAATCAAGGGAGCGAGCTACAGCATCTCAAAAATGGACAATTTTTCTCGAAATGGTAAAAAAGCCAAATAGCGCCTTCTTTTGTGTGTGTTATTGCGACCCATGAATTCTTTGGTTGTACTTTCCGATAAGGTTCTCCAGACCCCTCCCCATCACCACACCCCCACACCACCCAATTTGATAACTCATGAAGAATGAGTAGGTATTTATTGAAATGAAGTGGTAGTAAATTCATTCGTCATATAATTACATGAAGTGGTTTGGCAGAAAAACGTCTCCTTCAGTGCCATATAACAAAGTAGCTGATCATTTCTGACGAAGCGATACGAAGCTGATGTAGCAGTTATTTTTGATGGGTACCCTGCAGAGTCTGGCACAAAGAGCGCTGAAAGATTACGCCAGATACAGATCCACACTTCTCCTGATGTGATCTTTGACAAAACCACAATCAACGCAGTTGCTCAAGACAAGTTTCTATCGAACGCCAATAACAAGATCAGTTCAATTGAGCTACTCAAAACAGAGTTAGAGGATTGTGGAATTCAAGTCAATCAGGCTCATGAGGATGCTGACAGACTCAAAGTGGAAAGCGCCACACAAGGCCCAGAAATGTGATGCTGTGGTGCTGGTTGGGGAGGATGTTGATCTTGTGATCATGACAGGATTTGGGCAGCAGTACAGGAATTTATTCTTCCTGAAGCCTGGGAGAGGTGGTGCAAATGATGTATGCCACTCAACAGCATCATACAAATTCAATCCACAATACATCCTCAACAGCCATGCTTTCACCGGGTGTGGCATATGCCACATTTGGCCATGGGAAAGTGAAGCTGTGCAGTGTTCTGGAAAAATCTTCCGGAGAAATGAAGCATGCGTTGGATGTGTTCTTGGATGAGCAGTGCACGAGTGGAGAGATTATTGAAGCTGGAGAGCTTGTGTTCAAAGCATTGTACCAACAGGGGACGTTCAGTGGACTCGAAACCTTGGACGACATGCAACACTATCTTTTCAAAAAGTCCGTGTCTGCAGGTAAAGTTATTCTTGCTCTGTTGCCCCCAACTTCTGATGCTGCTGCTCTACACTCACTAAGATGGTTTTACCAGATTCAAAATTGGCTGGATGCCACACACTTGAACCCCAAACAAGCAAAGTTGAAATGCTCCAGCATCTGCAAGAAATGCAGAGACACCGACTGCGACAATGTCGCAGATGAGGTCTACGAGGACCCTCCCATCATGGCACCTGTTCGTGAGGAACCGGGACCGTCGAAACGCCTAAGAAGGAAGTGAAGTGGAAGGTTAACTTCTCTTTTCATTGGTCAATTTTTCAATGATTCAATTGTAATTGGATACTTCACTTGTTTAATAAAATTTGTATCCATACATATGTTTTCTCATTTTCTTGTCTCCTTCATTCCTTTCGTTGGTGACTCATTTTGTAATGGGGGCTCACAGAAAAGTTTTAGATCATTCTACTTCATTTTCGAAACAATAACGCCTATTTCGAATTTTTTGTTAAGCACCATTTTGTGGAAAGAAAACCATAGTTTTGTTTCACTGTATTGACTTTAGGCCCTGATGAAGGTTTAAAACAATGCGAAAGCTCGGCGAATAGGTTGAAGTGCTTTTTCTCACATTGCATGGGACTGTGAGCGTTTTGAAAAATGGGGGAGGTGGTTGATGGGAAGGTTGGGGTGTTTGGAGAGGAGGGTTGGTGATGGGAGGGGCTCGAGAACCTTATCGGACCAAAATATAATTCGAAAATACAACCAAAGAATGCATGGGTTGCAATAACACACAAAAGAATGC